TATGAGGGCCAGTGACACTGCCCTCCACAGCTAAGATGCTGAACAACAGCTCAACCTGGAGCTGGGCTGCTGTGAGTCGGCGTAGGCTGCAGCCCCTGCTGCAGTGGGTTGCCATGGGCTACCGTGTGTAGCCAGCAGCCAGCGTGAGCGGCCAGCACCCAGGAAGAGCACAATGATGGTGCCAACTTGGGCCAGTGAAGCGACGTCCTCCACACCTAGACTGAAGAACAAAACGATAGCAACTTGTCTGTTCCCCTTCCCCAATTCCCCAGCGCTGTTCCCATCCCCCCAATTCCCCAATAAAAATCTTCCAAAAAAAAGAGAAAACCTGGATAGACCCCGAACACCTGGTTAGTTTCCATATTGGAAACTAGAACGCTTAGAGCTAAATTCTTCTACCACAAATAAGTTTACAGGACCATGCATATCCCAGGGCGAATCTTTTCATCCTTTCTTTTAATCGTCCAAGAAATATTTGTCCTGAGCTTATTGTGAGCTTGGCCCTGGGGAATCAACAGTAAACAAAACAGACAAAACCCCTGTCTTCATGGCGCTCACAGTCAAGAAGAGGAAGAGGCAATAAAACAACCTAATAAGTAGCTGTGTCATATGTCAGAAGGCAATAAATGCTAGGCCGCCCACATCTAGAGGTGAGGAGAGGAGTCTGTGAGGGGGAAGAGAACCTGGGGAGCGTGGGCTCCTGCAAGCCATGTATTAATAGAAACAGTGTGTGTAGAAGGAAGTGAGCAGCGGGGACAAACGCTGCCCATGAGGACTGAGAATTACCACTGGATTGGGAACGTGGAAGCCATTAGTGATCTTGAGAAAGCAGTTTGTATTGACAGGTAGGGCTGCAAACCTGACTGGAGCAGGTTGAAGAAAGGACAAGAAGAGGATTTGAAAACAGAAAGCATGATGACTCCTTCCAGCAGTTTTGCTGGTAAAGCGAGCAGAACATGGGGTACTAGCTGGAAGGAAAGGGGGCTGAGAGAGGGTTTTTTAAAAAGGTGTCAAAAGGGCCAGCTGAGTGGCACGTTGATTTGGAGTTGGCTTGGGACACCAGCTCTGAGCAGCAGGGCCCCAGATCAGATCCCACATTGAGGGCCAGTGACGCTGTGTCCTCTCCAGCTAAGATGGTGAACAACAGCTCGACCTGGAGCTGGGCTGCCGTGAGTCGCCGGCGACAGTGTAGCTGCAGTGGGGCTGGCCTGAAGCTGGCATGAGCTACCGTGAGCAGCTGGCAGCCGGTGTGAGCTGCTGTGAGCCGCGGAGATCGGCCGTCCAATGGCCGGCAAGCGACTGCCTCACCCGGGAAGAGCACAATGATAATACCAACATGGGCCAGTGAAGCAACGTCCTCCACAACTAGACTGAAGAACAAAAGGAC